ATAAGATCTGTAGGACTGTATATATAAAGTTTGAAACTTACTAGTAGGACTGTATAAATGAAGTTTGAAATTTACTGTTCATAATTAGACATTTTGTAAATAATTAGGTGTCCCTAAATCATATATATTCTTACCCCCACCCCCTTCAATTTGACAATGTGCTTTTATCTTGTAAACGGTCGAGATCCCCACCCCTAAACCATATATATTCTTGTATGGGACAATAAAACAAGTAAAATGAAATATTGGGATAGTCCTCGGGTTCACCCCTACCCCCCTTTTTTATGAAAACTTGTAACCGGTCAAGATCCCCACCCTGAAACCATATATATTCTTGTATCTTACAATAAAACAAATCAAATGAAATATAGGGGAAGTCCATTGGGGTAACCCCCACCCCCTTCTGTTTGAGAACTTGTAAACGGTTCAGATCTTCACCCCTAAACCATATATAATCTTGTATGGGACAATAAAACAAATCAAATGAAATTTAGGGGAAGTCCCCTGGGATAATTCCCACCCCATTTTTTTTTTTTTGAACTTGTAAACAGTCGAGATCCCCACCTTTAAACCATTTTTCTTCTTGTATGTTACAATAAAACAAATCAAATGAGATAAAAGTCGAGTCCCCTGGGGTCACCCCCACCTTCTTCCTGTTTAAGAACTTAGAAACGGTTGAGATCCAAACCACATAACCATATATATTCTTGTATGAGGGGAAGTCCATTAGGGTAACCCCCACCCTCCTTCTGTTTGATAACTTGTAAACGGTCAAGATTCCCACCCAGAAACTATATATATTCTTGTATGGGACAATATATCAAATCAAATGAAATATAGGGGAAGTCCACGGGGGTAAACCCCAACCCCTTCTTTTTGAAAACTTGTAAACGGTTGGAATCCTCAACCCTAAACCATATATATTATTGTATGGGACAATAAAACAAATCAAATCAAATTTAGGGGAAGTCCATGGGGGTAACCCCCACCCCCTTTTTTTTTTGAAAACTTGTAAACAGTCAAGATCCCCACATTGAAACCGTATATATTCTATTAGTTAGATAATACAACATCCAGGTACAAAGGGTCCTAAATTAAACTTTTGTTTAATCAACAATTGAATTCTTGGGTTCTTCGATACGCTGATTTTAACAATGTTTGAGTGTTAAATCGTATCTAATTTTAGAGAACTTAGTCATCACTGGTTGTTGTTATTATATTATTGATTTTAATTTGAAAAATTACATCATATCTAATTTTATAACACTTAGTCATCACTTCACTGGTTTATTGTTTACAATCATATCTATTTATCCAGTTTGAGTTATTTCCCTTTGCACAGAAATATATGGATCAAAATTAAATTGTGTTTCAATTCAACTTAAATTAAATATATATAGGGTTCTTTCAAATGCTGAATCTAAACCTGTAAAATATTAGATTTTTGGGCCCAGTTTTCAAGTTGGTCCAAATCAGGGTCCAAAATTAAACTTTGTTTGATTCACAAAAATTTTGGAAGGGGTCACTCCAAAACCTAACAGACTCATACTGTTTACTGGTTATGTTTTAATATTATATTTTCAAGTTTCCCGGGATCTTGTACCACTACCGGTGACATGACTACACATCAATTGAATTGTGAAGAATTTACGCAAATGCATAAGTTTCCTTTCAGTAAAGTTGCATATTTCAAGATTTTTTTATTCTTGATTTCATATATTTTTGTTCAAAATGCTTTTGTAACTTTTTAACCTGCAAAAATACAAAAGTCTCTCGGTTGTACCTAACTACCGGTGGGAAGATCTGAAACCATAAATGGGAGGTCACGGCTAATTTGAACTTCTGCTTGGAGATAATCAACGAATAGTTTTTACATTCAAAATACCATAACACCAATGTTTTTATAGTAAACAAGACACAAAGAATGTGATGACATCATTACAATGTTATTTGACTTCAAAAATAGATTGGTTGAACTTAAGTATTGAACTTGGTGCTAAAGGAACAAGAAATGTGAAATATATGTTAATGAGACAGCAACCCAACAAAGCAAGAATGGAGATGTGTAGAGGTCAATATAGTCAACAAATAGAAAATAACCTTATATGACAAGGTCTACATTTTCATTAAGCTGGCCATAAAATTTAGGAATTATTCATGTTAAAGATATCACTGCACGAAATCCTCGATTTACGTACCTATGCAAATATTTGGTAAACCTATTTAGGTGTTAAGCTTTGCATATGCTTTACATTTATTTGCAGGTGTTTGCCATTTCTTTACACATCGTAAATGTTAACATTTAACAGTGTTTCCATACTACAGGACAGTTTTTAGAGACCGCGGTTTACATATCATGCAAACAACTATTCAAAACATGAATAAATTGAAGTAATTCCAATATTTTGTATACGTATATAAAGTAACCGAAAATATCAACATTTAAAGGGGTCCATAAAACTTGAGCTTTGCCATGTATTTACACCAAGATAAATTTTGATATTTGTTACGGTCGCAAATAGTTGTAAAGTTTTTGTGGAGAATAACATTCAAATACCATAAGAAAAGAGAATATGCAAAAATCTTTACGTAGTGTGTAAATGTATTTGGAAATAAAGATATTTATTCATTTCGTTTCACGTATGGAAAGACATGTCATTTCTAAAATTTTACGGAATTTTATAACCTTAACAATTCAAGAACAAACATTAATATTTGTGTGGGAATAAAGAGACAACAAATATATAATAAACAATTATGTTTACATTGCTAAATGATGGATATGAAATGCATGTGGAGGTTATTATTTGCAAAAGTTACACCCCATAAAGAATACACAATAAAGACACATGTTTACAAATATTTACTGGTATAGTGCAGCTTTGTAAACATCCAATTTTGCAATATATTTCGCAGGTATGCAATGATTTGTTGCACTGCATTGCTTTGTATACTTCGGGCAGGTATAAATAAATATTATATATATAATTTGTTTTTCTTTAAATGCCGGCTCTATGCATAAATAGATGGGGGATATTAATTTATCAATATTTTTCAGTATTGTCTCGCATTTTTTTTCTGTCGTTTGGTAAATACTCCTTCTAATTGCCTTTAAAACAAATTACCTAGTAAGTTTTGTTCTTCTTGGAAATGTATATCTTAAATGCTGCAGCTGAGTCTATCATGGATTTTTTTTAGTTAGATTAAAATTTTCCGAAAAAAAATATAGAAATAAATTAGTTCAAATGACTATATATTATATTGATATTGTTATACTTACATTTTTAATAAAAAAAATTTTTAATTTTCATTTAATTTGATTTGAAAGATAAACATCAATTGCATTAAATGAATTTTATAAAACAAAAGTCAATTTCTTTTGCGCGAAATTCCTAAAATTAGAAATGTACTAAAAGTTCGATTAAAATTTTTTATCCAAACTAGAATGAGCATGTCATTGAATAATATCGTTCACAAATGTTTGGATTAAATTCTAACTACACGAGTCGCATCCACTGAAAACTTTAAGAATGCAAGTTTACTACATTTACAGAGTATAGTCCAGTACAGAATGAATGATAACGTTTCAAATATCTATTATACCAATTGCAGTGCACAATAAGATAACAATAAATTGACCAATCATAATACAACTATGTGTTATTAGTGACATACTGATCCACAATTAACAAATCACAATCTACAGCAATATGACAAAATTATCACATTTCAAATTATGCAATAATTTAGTAGAACAAGGAGGTTGAATTTGGACCCCCATGGTTGGATTAGTATGGCTATTGTGTAAAGTCTATGAAATAAATGTTTCATTGTTTAAATAGCATCAAAAGGAAATACTTTGAAGCTTTATGTACGGTTCTAATTTAATTACCATATTTGTGAAAAATCATGCCCATTTAAAAAATTTAATAATTTGCAAAAAGTCAAGGTTCTTCTGGGTTTATTAATTTATTTTCAAAGCTGCTTTTTAAAAGTTCAGCTGATTCACTTTCATCCTTACAGGATAGCTTTATTATGATTAAAAGTTGTGCATCATTTTAATTATCTTCACACTATATCACAGTGTCGCATATGAATAGAATAGAATAGAATAGAATAGAATAGCTTATTCACCAAATTAGGGCTCTGGGCCCGTATGCATAAAGCTACTTAAGTTAAGATTTTCCTTAGTAAACACTTAAATTAAGGAAACTCCGCCCTTTTTACTTAAGTGGTATGCATGAAAAATCTTAAACTAAGTATTTCCTTAGTAAAATCTTAGTTGGTTTAAGTCACGCCCACAAAACTTAAGTGGTATGCATAAAACCCCTTATACTAAGAAAACTCCTAAGAGTATAACAGTCTCCGGGACAAGTTTGCACTTCCGCTGAGTGCAAAAGTTGTCACCTTAATTTTTGGAGTTAAGTCAAAATGAAGTTGATAACTTGGTTGGTATTGGTTCCCTGATATTTGTCTTAAAAAATTTTGGCTCTAGCACCACTGTTGAAAAAGTTATGCCCCTTTTTTCAACAATTTCCGCAGAGGAAAAGTCGTTTTCCTCAAGGGAAATCAAATTTCCCTAAAGGAAAAAGATTTTTCCTCAAGGGAAATTGTATTTTCTTCAAGGGAAAAAGATTTCCCTCAGGGAATTTGCTGCTTTAATATTTCCTTTGAGGAAATTTGCGGCTTCAAATTTTCCTTTGAGGAAATTATATTTCCTGTGAGGAAATTTGAGGCTTCAAATTTTCCTCTGAGGAAATACTTATTCCTGTGAGGAAATTTTGTCAACAGCAATTTCCTGTGAGGAAATTTTTGACAAACACTTTTCCTTGATGGAAAATTCAAGACCACAAATTTCCTCTAAGGAAAACATTGTTCTCCAAATTTCCTCTATGGAAATTTCTGTTATTCAATTTTCCTCTATGAAAATTTCATAACAGTAAAAACAGTATGAACATGATGAATATAATTTTTCCTGAGACTGAATAATTGATACAAAAGATAATTAAAACTTTAATAAAATGTTCACTGATGAGTAACATGACATACTAAAACAATAGGCTAGCTGTTTGAGACAATACAATAATAAGCAAAACGCTATGAATATCATACTATTTGTGATGTTATTAATATTGTGCTCATATTTGCAGATTAAATAAAATAACCACTTTTTATGTTAATTTAACTTTTCTTCTGTTTAAGCTGCTGTGTACAATTATTCAATCCCCTACATAAGAGTTCAGTGCATAAATAATTCCATCCACCAGACATCTTCCTTCAATTGGTAGAGAATACATTTTTACAATTTGTTCTTCAAACATCTTCCTCTGTATATTTGATATGACAGAGCTATGTACATGAATGGATAAAGCAGGTGTTTATTTCGACAACAAAATACTATTTTTTCTACATTTCTCCATAATCCTTCAGTGAATATGTAGGTTGTTGCAATTACACAATTGTGTTCTTGTGCATCTATGATTGTACTCCATTTTGTTTACAGCCATTTTGTAGAAATTTCCTGTTTTCTTTTTCCAGGTAAGTACACATTTCATTTCACATTAATCCAATAAGCACACAATGTAGAAAAGTATTAACCTTAAGTTTCCTCTGTATTGACCTGGTGATGATCATAAAAACCAAGAAGTCTCACCTATAAATACACAAAATATAAATTGAGAAAAAAACAGCAATATGAAATAAGCTTATTTTATCATGTTTAATATGAACATTTTGAGACTCTTAAATTTGATATTCTTACTAATCATGATTATGAGTTCTGTTATTTCAGTGCTTTGTGTCCACGACTTAATATCAGTCGTTTAAGTGGCTTGCAGTGATAATGAGTTGAGCCACTTGCAACAGTTTTTACAGTTTGTTCATATGTTGTGCTATTTGAACCACTGTCCTAGATTATGGTTAGGTGGAGTGCTCACAGACATGATTTTTTTAATAATTGTTATTGGCTTTGAACTACTTTGGATTGGTTAAATCTTTTCATGTTGGGGTCTTTATTGGCTGACTTATAAGGTATGGGTTTTCTCATTATCGAAGGCTGTCATTGGTCTTTAATTGCTTGCATCCACTTCATTGAACTCTGGTGGATAGATAACTCACATACCACATCTTCTTATTTTTATAATAGTCATCATTCAAGGGCAATCACTTTTATTATATAGAAGTGGTCTAACCATTTAGGCCTTGTTGTCTTCTGTTTATCTTGTTTTGCCGATCATTTCTACTGTACAGTTGTAATTGTTTATATTTTTCTTTATCTTCTATATTTCTTGCCCTAAACTTAAAAAAGGTAAAAACTATAATTTAATGACTATAACTATTATTATACATCAGTATGTGTTTTTCTATATACCATGATATAAAAAAGGAATGAAATATTTGTGCTATTTCATTTCACAGACTATTTGCCAGTCAACAGTTGCAAAGACATAACCACAGTCAATAGTTTAACAAACAAACATTCCCGTACTTTTTCATCGTGTTCATACTAATTTTTCAATCGACAACAATGACGTGATTAACTATTCTTCTATGATTTGTGTGCTTGACAACATTAAACTCTGAAATATTGTTAACGGTATAATCTGTATGTGTCTGTCGTCAAAATTTCAAATTTATATATCAGTGGCGGATCCAGGGGGGGGGGGGGGGGGGGGGTTCCGGGAGTTGGAACCCACCCTTTTTTTTGGACGATCAATGCATTTGAATGGGGACATATAGTTGGAACCCCCCCCCCCCCCCCCTTTATCCTGGGTTAGGAACCCCCCCCCCTATTATAAATTACTGGATCCGCCCCAGTATATTACTTACAGAAGCAATTAAAACAAGAGGCTCACAAATTGAATGTGGTCTAAGAACTTAAAAATTTCTAATTTACCTATTCAAACCATATCATTATTATTTGCTTTTATATATAAATCAGTAATAACAAAATTTTAAAGAAAACAAAAGGATAAAAATCCCACCCTCCCAATTTTTTTAACCCCCTTATGATTCAACACCCCAAACTCAATCCCAGTCTTCCCTATGTGGTATGGTACCTTGCAGTACAATTTCAGAGAGATCCATACACTTGAACACAAGCTATTGTCTGGAAACTAGAAAAATGCTTGTTTTTTAGCCCCTTTTTGGCCCCAAATTTCTAAACGTTTAGGGCAATTACCCCCAAACTCAATCCAAGCTTTCCCTTTGTGATATGGAACCTTGTAGTACAATTTCATAAAGATCCATACACTTACACACAAGTTATTGTCCTAAAACTAGAAAAATGCTTGTTTTTTGCCCTTTTTTGCCTCTTATTCCTAAAATTTTGAGGCAATTATCCCCAAAATCAATCCCAGCCTTCCCTTTGTGGTATGGTACCTTGCAGTACAATTTCAGAGAGATCCATACACTTGAACACAAGTAATTGTCTGGAAACTAGAAAAATGCTTATTTTTGGCCCCTTATTGGCCCCTAATTCCTACAATTTTGATGCAATTACCCCCAAAATCAATCCCAGCATTCCCTTTGTGATATGGAACCTTGTGGTACAATGTCAGAGAGATCCATACACTAACACACAAGTTATGTCTGGAAGTTACAAAAATGCTTATTTTTGGCCCCTAATTCCTTAACTGTTGGTACCATAACCCCCAAAATCAATCCCAACCTTCCTTTTGTAGTATTGAACCTTAAGGTAAAATTTCATAGAGATCCATTCACTTAAACTAAAGTTAGAGTGCGAAAACCAATGTGTCTTTGGACGACAACGCCAACATCATACCAATATTTTGACCGCAAAATTTTTTTGCGGTCGTATAAAAACTGCAAAGTTTCCTTAAAATTACCAATCTAGTGGCAGCAACCAAACAAGAGATTGTTAGATTCATCTGAAAATTTAATGGCTGATAGAACTTGACATAATGAACAATTTTACCTCACATAAGATTTGCTCTAAATGCATAAGTGTTTGAGATATAAGCCAAAAACTGCATTTTACTCCTATGTTCTATTTTTAGACATGACAGCCATGTTTATTGATGAATCAGAAAATAAAATACAAGCTTTATTCTAAATACCCTACGGATCATTCAGCCTAAGTTTGGTTGGAATTGGTTCAGTAGTTTCAGAGGAGAAGATTTTTTTAAAGTTAGAAAACATGATAAACAAATTGTGTAAAATTGTCGTTAAAGTGCAATAACTCCTTAAGGGGTCCATTGACAATTTTGGTTATAGAAACTTATTTGTAGATCCTACTTTGCTGAACTTTTTTGCTGTTTACAGTTTATCTTTATCATTAATTATATTCAAGATAATATATATACTGCAAATTTTCCTTGAAATTACCAATTTAGTGACAGCAACCCAACAATCATGACAATGGGTTATTAGATTCATCAGAAAATTTCAGGGCTGATAGAACTTTGAACACCTAATGAACAATTTACTCTGTGTCAGATTTGCTCTAAATGCTTTGGGTTTTGAGATAAAAGCCAAAAACTGCATTTACCCCTATGTTCTTATTTAGCCATGACAACAATGTTTTTTGATGAAACAAAAAACAAAACACAAACTTTATTGTAGATACCCTAAAGATCCTTCAGCTTAAGTTTGGTAGGAATTGGTTCAGTAGAGAAGATGTATGAAATAGTTTACACGCGACAAACGCCAACGGTTGACAACAGACAACGACGGACACCAAGTGATGGCAATGTCTCACTGTTCCTTCGGAACGATGAGCTAAAAAGGCAAATTTAAAAAATTGCGCTGGCTCTATCCAAAAAAGATTTTTACAGTGTAGTGTACTACTTTTGGGACAGGACATATTAGCATAATAGAAAAATCTATACGCTATATAACTTAAAATATGGACAATTTAATGTTTAAAGGCTCTATAAGTTAGTTTGACAACTTCAGACATACTAATATTTGACCTTTTCAAACTATACCAAATCACTACTTAAGGATGTTCGCTACTCTGTTTCAAATAACAAGCTTTTTAAAAGACTGTTATAAATTGAAAGTATATGAATAAAGAAACTAAAAAAACAGAAAAAATGAAGGGTCTGTGTGCTTGTTTTTTAAGATATAAGACATTAAAAATTTGGCGGGAAGTGATTCTCTCTAGATTTTTCATACACTTAACACTGGCACCTTTTTCTTTCAAAAGCTATGGAAAAATAAAAAGGATTTTATAAGATTTTCAAATATGGCTTTTTAATATGGGGGGGGGGGGGGTGGGGGGTGGGGGGGGGGGTGGTGGGTGTGGGGCCGGGGGGGGGGGGGGGAGGCTGATATAAAAATTCTTCATGTATATTTAAAAAGTTATTTGTATTTCAAAAGGAAAGAAAGTTACTTATCTGCTTATAGCATACCACATGAGTAGAACAAGGTCCCATTAGGCCATGCAAGACTGAATAACATTTAAGGTCAAAATAGGGCGGCAGTAACACATTTTTACATGTAATTGTATATGAAAAGGCATACACATAAGCTAGAGGAAATACAAATGTGTTTCTTTTTGGTAATTTGTAGGCTAAGGTGATATCATACAAGAAGTATGAGTGATTCTCAAACTAAAATAAAAAATTCCATCCCCCTACTTCATTGTACTTACTTTTTATGCATAAAAAATATAAATAAATAAATTTTGAAGTAATACATGGTCCACACTAGGGAATCTTTTTGTAAAAAATGAAAATCAATGGATGATAACTGTGTGCTTGGACTAACAATTAAGATTTCACATGCTGAAATGTCTCGTCAGCCCAATCTCAATCATTGAAATAAATTATTCTTTTTTTTTAAAGTCATATGGAAGCAGTCCAAATAATAATGACGCATTGCAAGGCTTTTTTTTTCTCTCTGACGCCGTAGGAAGGAGAAGTGAGTTGACATAACATGTTTGTTATCATGCGAAATAAACAGTAATGAGTATACCTATGATTGTCATCGTCACTGCAAATGGATCATTAATACTAGGGGGAATGGAACCAATAAATTGATCGGATCCGATATGAAGTTCCCAGTAACGGAGAACCTCTTACTTTGAGGTAATATTTTTAGTGTCGGTGGTCTCACAAATGAATCAGGGTGAATTGCAGGTACATTAATTAGCAGAGAATAGACAAGTATCAACTTGTTATTCATTATCTCGCAGTTATTTACGGTTAATTAGCTGTATATATCCCAAAACAGGTGCTCGGAGCCAGTACTAGTCTATGACTTTTAAGTAACAATTATATTTATATTCACAATCAGTGGCGGATCGAAGGGGGATGGGATCCGGGGGTTTGACTCTCCTTTTTGAGTTTTTGAGGGGGGAGGGGTAGGAGGGGTCCTGATCCCGAAATCCCGGGCTTAAAAAATGGAATCCAGAGGTCCCGAATTAAAAAAAAAATTAAATCTCGACATCCCGAAATTCGAAAAAAGAATTCCCGGATCCCGAAAGGATCAATCCCGAAATCCCGAGCTTAAAAACAGCCGATCCCGGCGTCCCGATAAAGGTCCTACCGGACAAAAAGTCACAGGATATAAAGTCACAAATTTGATAGGACAAAAAGTCACAGGACAAAAAGTCACAAATAATTTGTTGACAATTGTTTGAATATATAAGAGAAAGATCTTGAATTTCTTTTTATTACATATATTTGGACCCCCTTTATCCAGGCTGGAATCGCCCCTGATATTACATGTAAATCAAGTCCCAGGTTACTGTTAGCATAATAGCATAACGGTAATCACAAAGAGTGTGGTAATTTTTAAAAGGACGAGGATTTATAAATATACAATTCTTGAAGAGGGGGAGAGTGCACTTCACGGTGATCGAATAAAAAGTGCCTTGCACGTTATTTTCATCATCTTGTCTGAAACAGTCTGAATAATGAGCTTCAAGGCGAAGCGCGAAAACAATAAGTCATGTGAAATACTAATGACAAACACGTTGTACGGACAAACACTTAAATCCCTCGGTGTATGTCAAATGAATTATAGCGAGGAAAGGTAAATTTAATTTAATATCAAAACTAAATATTTGTTATATTTCGCTCCTGATTTCTCAAGAAATCATAGAATCAATAAATGTATAAATTTTAATTATCCATGTCTGTGTGAGATCCATTTCATGAGACCAAGGATTTCTATAAAATCCTTGATGTGACCCTTTATATATACAGTTTTCTATTTTCCCCGGAAAAAAATAAAAAAAAATATAATCTTTAGGGAAATAATCCGATTTTGTTGAATTATTTCCCTTCATAATTATGATAAATCCTTTTAGTTCTTCAATTTTAAATTAAAATAAATATTTCATTTTGATCTAACGACAAACTTTTTAAATTGTAGTGGCATGGTCAGTCAACTGATTAGTTGCATGTCTGATTACCAGTTTACTGGTGACCCAGTAATTTTCCATATGACAGTGGTGTGTACCCTTGGGGTGTGTATAACTTATTTTGAATACCTTAATTTTCTGGGGAACATCCTGTCCACGTGTAATACTTAGTATATATTGCAACAGATGACATTTAACAAATTTCTTTGTAGCATCGATGTCCATTTCATGTTAAACCACTCAAAATTTTCACAAAAAAGATAATATAATAAAATCAATAAAAAAAAAGATTAAAAAAACACTAGCAAATAAACTTCGCAATGAGTAAACGGGGATTTGTGTTTTAAAGGGCTTATTTCCAGTGGATATATTTCATACTAGATAATTAGACCTGAGATAACTTTTTTTGTAATATATATTTTATTATTTTCATATCATTCTCAAATCTCGATCATCTTAAATAAAGATGTACAAAAAATAATTTTGTTATAACTCATAAATATATGGTTAATCACAATTGTTACAAATTATAAAATGGTAAGTGCCACCGTCCGTTGCAAAACTACGATTAAATCTTTTAAATGAAAGACGCGTGCACTGCCTTCATCGGAACAGAGGAAAGTCCACCTAGTGTACATTAAAGAGTATCCGTTTGTTATGCTGAAAAAAAAGAGATCATCATAAACTTTTTAGCAGACCTTCTCGTGTAAAAAAAAACAAACTTTTAACTGAATTAAACAAAAAATTATCAAACAAAACTCATTAGAACACTCATAGTAACATTTTGTTTAGACCTGAGATAACTTATAGTAAGATTATTTATATAGAACAGTTAAAACAAAATGTCCGATCTGATACACGTACCTATAATGTACAAATTTTTGAACAGCTTCAAATATATGGCCTTATCATTGGTAATATATCATATTTGTATCAGTTATTGCTGAACGTGTAACCAAATTAAAATGAAAAAATAGGCTCGAAACCGCATTTTTTAAAGATATTTTTTTAAATCCCAAAATAGATAATAGCAGAGACATATACACATATGTGTATATATGTCTCTGATAATAGATATGCAGATTAAATTCCAGATGAAAAGATTAATAACTTTCTTTTCTACCGAAGAAAATATATTAACAAGGATTTAGGATATCACTAAATTATTAAATTCATCAATTTATTAAATTTGAACATGTGAACCAAACAACGAAAAAAATAAACGGGAAATTGGCTATACCTTTTTGGTATTAGCCATGAAGCCATGTATGTACCAGCCATTTTAACTTATTGTTTTCTTAACCTTTAAAGAATACATTTTAAAATGAACTACTTTATTTATAGTAGTTCAAGAAAAATATATATATATATATATATTAGATAACTCTTTCCTTTATATTCATTGGAACAAGAAGCGAATTCGTTAGCGAACTAGAGTAACTATAGAAATAGCGTCGTAACATGCAGGTCTTCTTCTGACCGGCAATAAATCCTTAGCACTATTGATAGTGGAACGTCCATTAGGCTGTGCTCAGCCATGTCCGAATGGGGACGTTGAATCCTTGCAACTGAACAACTCTTAGAGTGGACTGAAAGTAGCCTGGTATTAGGCCAATTTTCTGTCCCTCTTTTTTCATTGGCAGTCGATATTTTCCGACCGTATCACGGGCGGTCTCAATTACAAGACCTACATGTTCCTATCATATATTATTCGGAACGTCAGACACACCCGACATTAATCAACCAAAAACTCAATATTTTACAGTAGGGAATGAATATCTCCCACGTTCACTTGTCCCTTGAAGGATCAATATTGAATTTCTTCCATCGCCCCCCTCCCCCCCCCCCCCCCCCCCTTTTTATAAGATTACATTATGACGTATGTTTTTTTTTTTAATTTTACGAAAAACCAACAAATCGATTTTTATCACCAAATTTGTCTTTGCTGAGATTAACAATAAAAAAGTATAACAAAACGTAACGATTGAAAACCGTTGGCTCACAGTTCAGTTTTTAAGATATTTTTTTCTTTCGAAACTAACAGACTAATTTTCAAAAAGTTTTTTTCTTGAACCATTATTTATCAAAACGAATTTGTAAACAAAAGTTATTCTTAAATATTAATTAGTTGTTATAGTAAAATTATGAATTGCCAAAGACAAAATTTTAATATAACAATTGTAAAGAAAAAAATCCATCATGATAGTAATTTGTTAATTTACTGGATCCATGGTGTTAAACATGTCACCTTTCTTTTACAAATAACTGATTAAAAATATGAAGCCTTTACTGTAAAATAAATCATTCTAATAAAAATAAATTCATCCAGATTTTTTCTCATAACCTTTCAACAGTTATTGTAAACAAATTTATTCGAACTATAATAGTCCTATGACTTGCTGTCCGTTTACCAATATTTATACTTTATAAAGTGTTTTCATATTCATTGATCATTAACTTCATGTTTTGCGAATACTTATAAGGAGGTAATTATTATAGCCAGTAATAGCTAACAATTTATTTTAAGAAAACGAGATGCTATATTCAAATTCTGAGATCTGAATGTAGTTCTTAAAAAAAAATCTCAACAACAAAATTCTACACATTTATCTGGGTCTTTTTGTCTCCGCTTCGAAGCCGCCATGCCGTACCAAACATATCTATTCGTTTGGCAATATACAATCTGGTAAGCAATATACAACAGGCAGTAGATCTGAATTTGTAAATTGTTATTTTGGATTTTACCTGATTAGGACGTGTCTCGTTGAATTTTCTAATAAACTTACACACACATAATCTGACTTTTAATCGTAATGTTATGAGATCTATAAGAACATAGAGCTACTGTATAGGCCTAGTTGCATGCAAATCTTTATAAATTATATATTTTGGTATGCTATAGTTTGTTTTTATAGACTATTTGTCATTTGGTCGTTTTTTTTTTTTTTTTTTTTTTTTTTATATAGTTTTTGACATGGCGTTGACTCGAGTTTGATATATTATGCATCTTTTGTGCTGTATTTTAACAATTATTTACAAGCATGCTGCATGTTTACACATTCATCACTATACCGCATCTAAATATAGCTTTATTGTAAAAAAAAATTATGGAGATTTAGTATGATTGGTAATGAGACAACTATCAACCAGAATTTAAAATACCTGTCTGATATAAGCAATTGTGACTTACTTTCTTTACTCAGAGTGATCGTAAATTAATCAGATAAGCTGGAGGAGGGGTGGGGGCTTCATATTAAAAGAAAAGAAATTAGCATTAGCTTTTTGTGACAAATATATAATAAACTCACAGTAACATAAAAAGCTCTTGAAAGCGCTGTCAGATCCCGGCACTGTTAACTGTTTTTGACGCGTGCTAAAAAATGCAGCACCTGGTTACAGGGGCTCATTTGACAAATTATCATCTTTCGTAATTTAAGTTATAAAATCTAAATTTTAAGTGATCAAAAATGTTCATGACTAACGAGTATTTTCCCTTGTACGATTTTTCTGTGAAATGAGTCTAAGAGTATATACATGTATATCGGGATACTCACTGCATAGTAAAATATTTATGTACCTATTTAATAGTTGCGGCTCATTTTGGTCTTTTAAGTAAGTTTCCTTCCCCTGCATTACTTGATCGCTTTTGTAAGAAATAAACAGTACAACAACGATCAACAACAACAGCACTCGACGTCAGTATTGTACCAAAAAATGAAAAAAATATTCAAAAAGAAGGCTCATAAAATTCAAATATTGGTAAGCACACACACTAACCTGTCACCACAGACATGATCTTTTTGTTAATGCACCAAACTCGTTTTCCACAGAACGATGTCGATGGTGGGGAAAACTTAGTCCAAATGATTATGACGTCTTGCAAGGCTATTTAGGCGTCCAAGAAAAAAATATAAAATAGTTTAAAGTTTTTTTTAATATATACATGATATAG